GGTCCAAACATAATGGAGCTACTAAGCATCGAAGGAATACTATTTTTAATGTTACAAAAGCTAAGCAGTGATTGACTGAATTACTTCTGTATCTGTCGGTCAGACATTTTAAGAATATGTCAGTCGCTCATCGGGTCATAAAATTTCTCGATTTTTTTATAGAAGCCCAGTAATTTGTTACAATCTTCATACGATTCTACCAGTAAGCCCTTTCCTGGCCCACTTGAATCCAGTCCCATTCATATATTATTTTTAAGATACAGTTTAATATTATACTCCTATCTATGCTTAGGTCTTGCAAGTCAGATATTATCAATAACATTTTGCATGCATTTGTCATATCTGTCATGTGTGCTGCCTGTCTCGACAATTTCTTTTGTAAATTGTCCCGCTAATAATATTCGGTGTGGAGTACAAATTATGGAACCCCTAACACATACATCTATGTTGTCTATACTGAAGTAGTTAGTTAATTATTGGAGAGGGTGGGTTTCCCCATGCACTTAGACCAGTATTGGTCCATTGTGCTTCCCTCTATGATATTCTACCAGTCTCTATACCCTACCGATACTGGTGCGTACCATCAGTCCCGACCGAGCCAGCGAGTTCGGCCTCTACTGGCTTAGCGGTGTCTATAATGCTTCCCCCATCTATCAGAGGTGTTAGAGACTACTGTTGGGCGGGAAATGTCCTTGAATTTGGCTCAGTGACCTCCTTTGGAGATATGAGGTTCTTTTACGTGACGTAAAGCTACGACACGGGACCCACGGCTTAAAGTTCCTCCCGGAGGACTTGTTCCCAGAATTTTTCCGCCCTTAAAAATTCCACGACCTCCGCCGGGTTTGAACCCGCGTACCACGAGTCATGAGGTGGGAACGTTACCTCTAGACTATGGAGGCCGCTCTATAGTGAAGTAAACTCGATAATACGACGAGAACGTTTCTGGCCTGCAACTACAAGCCTCTTGCAGCAACATGCATGGTGACGGAACTGCCAGGATCATAGTCGTACGGTGCCCTTCGCACGGTCCCGAACATTGCCGACACGCGGCGACCGTGAACATCTGCTGCGCATGTCTTTTGCTGAGTCACAGATAACAGCAGTGGAGCAAACCGAGTTAGTGGAGGAGGTGGTTGTATTTCTGTTGGTGCGTTTGATGGTAGAATAGCTTCTAGTCTACAAGCATCGCAGCAATGGAATCGAAATCAGAATTGTTTACTGGGAGCTTGGAAGCCTCACAAAGGTCTGTTTCCTCATACAGTAAGGTTAGATGGTTCAGGTGTTTAATGTATCAGGGCTCTGTTTTACACTGAACTTAACTCAGATCTCCTTAACCGAGTATTGAATTCGGGTCACGGGATTTTAGATTTGCGCCGGGGTGAAGATTCATATTGTGGTTTTTTTGGTTATCACACCTTGTGGTTTGGTAGGTGCGAACCAATATTTCGGAGGAACGTACTGCCTCTCTCTTCAGGATGAAGATCCTTATCCAAATTACATGGTACTGTAACCCAGAAGACCACAGTTTGCGTCCGGATTTTATTTACGGCCAATTCATGATGATTCTAATCTACTTTAATTCTCAGATTGAATAATGATAAGTTATATACATACGTAATATTTTCTTCGTAACTTTTCTTAAAGAAAACGCAAGAGATTTATGACATTACAGTTTGGTCAGTCTGTGTATATCCCCACTTTCATATTTTGAGCCAGTTAACCGATTCTGACGAAATTTTATATAAATATCATGCTCTCAGTGGCCACCATAAAGTGCTTTTTACTTCCGCACACTTAGTAATAAAAATATGGCCGACGCCCTAACTTGTGAGTGGGAGCGCTACTACTAAAAGAATATCTGCAGTATTTTGTTAAGACATCCTGTCTAGAAACCCGAGATTAACGGCCGTGGGGAACCGTTGCGCTGACCGCGCGACATCCTCTATCCGCAAAAGTTGACACTAACTTCCCCGACAAGCGGCGGTCGCTCGGTCAGTATAGTTCGCTTGCGGACCACAGGCCGAGGGAGTTTATTTTGTTTTAAGACAGCCATTTTGTGGAATGTAAAATAACAACATGTCGACTATGCGAAAGAATTTCTTTAACTTTCTGTGTGATCGCCACAACTAAGCCCTAATAAACCACTGGAGCTCATATAGAATATTTGATGTCGAGGTTAGATGATACTTTTTCGTAGACAGTATGCATAGTGTAGTTTGCATGTCGGTAATTACAAATATGGCAGTAGTGCGAAACTGTGAGGTGATATCCAAGAGATTTAATGTAGACAGAGCCTGTATGCTCGCAACTCCTCGGTAACGTGAACGTTCATGCTGAATCTGTATATATATATATATACAGTTACAAACATAACAGTCCACGAACTTTCTGATACCATCTCNCTGTTATGTTTGTAACTGCCTCGGTTAAAGCAGTTGAGAGGGGAGACCAAGGTCACACTTCCCAAACCCTATTGCATCAATCGCGCTATGAACATGCATTGTTTTTACACTAGTGCTTTTCGACTTCTTGTTTCATTATGCCTGCGATGGGTGGCAAAATCTAGCAACGTGTCTGCATTAAGTTTTGCGTGAAGCTGTGTAAATCCTCTACCGAAACCCTTGAAATGCTTCGTGAGGCTTTTGGAGAACATTCTTTAAGCTGGACAGCGGATTTTGGATGACATTCATGTTTCAAGGCCGGTCGAGTGTCAGTTGAAGACTACGAACGTCCAGGGCGACCAAACACCAAGATATGACAGAAAATGTTGAAAAATTCGAGAACTCGTCCACGAAGACCGTCGCCGAACAATCCCTGAGCTCGCAGACACCGTTAGGATCAGTTATGAAGTTTCCAAGAGATCTTAACAGAAAATCTGAATATGTGGCACATTCTCCTTCATCACGACAACGCGCCCGTCCACATATCCCTGAAAACCACAGTTTGTGACTAACAACAACCTGGTTTTCATTCCGCATGCTACCTACTCGCCGGACTTAACCCCTGTGACTTCGACTTGTCTCCCAAATCGAAGATGCAAGTGTCTTACATCCGATGGGAATCGCAAGAGGTACTCAACAGCATTAAGGAAATTGGCTTCCACGGTGCCTTCGAAGCTTGGAAAAAATTATGGGATCGCTGTATACGTTCGCAAGGAGAATATTCTGCAGGAGATGGGAGCCAGAATTTGAGGAAGTTAAGCCAACATTTCTTTTTAACGTAGTCTGGGAACTTTCCGATAACACCTCGTGTACCTCACCAACCTCGTACGTTGTACATTTACTTTGTGTAGGTAACCTTACGGAAGAGAAGTCATGAGTAAGATGAAGAAAGTCGTCTTCTCGGATCTGGCGCCGTGTATTCTTGGTTTTAACCGACGTTTCGGAGGAACATATCGCCTCCATCTTCAGGGCAGTTGAATTGCGTGCGAATACAGAGAGAAGTAGCTGCAAGATTCTGGTAACTTTCTAATGACTACATGGTGGTCTACGTCACCAAGTGATGATTACGTCTCCTAGGTCTCATAGTATATAGAATATAACCACGCGACGTAATATTTATGGTTTTATTTGAAATCGTTTTCGTGTGTTTCATGCGCAACAATGAAATATATATTGTCATGTGTAGGGGCTTGCGCGTGACTTATAGGCGGGTTTTCGAATGGATCATGGGATTTATCCACATCTTATTCACACAACTTGGGACTACAGGCTTTACAGCGCTATCGCTGATCTACACACTTCCCAGTTCACCGTTACACACGCACTAGGATTCTCAGTCTTCACTAGTCGTATCCTGGCAACGGATTTATCACAGTTTCACTGCCAACTAAGATCAGATATGAAGTCTTTTTCTCACATTGTAATTCATTTCTTACCACTTCTTCTCAATCACTTTCGACTACCATCTCCAGAACTCGACCCAATTCTCTACAACTCTCTCAAACGACCTTTTTTGTCCCTTTATAACAACTCGGCACGGACCAAGCAGAAAACACATTCTGTATTGTTGATAAAGTTTGTTTGCTGATCCGTTGCCTAGCATTTGACGTCCTATTACTCTTCCACGGTAATGTGTTTACCGAGTCGTTACCTAGCAATGGTTCTATACGTCACATATGTTGAAGTGTATTTTGATCTTGAAGTTATCAGTTTCAAAATGACTGGCTAGTCCGAATTCGTACTACGTAAGCATGTTTTTGGCAACCCTAATATTTGCCAGAAGGAAAGTTTGAATTAAGACCAAGTGCATGATTCAGTTGTATATTATATATATAGAAAGCGGCCCAAAAAATATTAATGCGCAATAACAACACACAAATTAAACCGCTCAGCACGCCGTATCAATTGCAGAGATTATGCAGCATCGACTGGACGTAAAGATTATTACCTAACCAGCCGCAGGAAATCTCAGACATTTATATAAGAAGGTTTTAACTATCCCAGGCACTAATGAATATAGAGACGGTCACAGTGGCCACGGTCTTCGCTCGCTCGAACGCTGGGATCGTGGGTACGAATCCAAGTCAAGGCATTGATATTTGTCTACATTTATTCTGTGTCTGTGTTGTCCTGTGTAAGATAGCGGCCCTACGACGGGCTGATCCCCCGTCCGAGCTTTTCTACCGACTGAATAAGGAAAGCTTACCAAACTGAAATGAAGCGATGCGTTTCACATGTGCCCTATGCTCCAAGTGGGCGCAACAGGAACAAAAATATATGGGTGGATGGATGGAGGGACGGACAGACAGACAGACAGTAGACAGAAATATCAGAAGTAGAATATACAGCTGTGTGAAACGGGTAGAATCCTATGTCAACATTGTTGTAATACTGAGATAGTTTAGTGTAAGAATATTTTAAATTAGATGATAGCTCTTTCTTTCTTTATGGAGGCATTGACATATGTCGTAAACGTCTAAACATCTAGCGAGACTGTCTGTTTATATAGCATAGCTTAATAAGCAGACGAGAAGCTAATTAATTTTTCTTTTCTTGCAGGAATATTCGGAAGGGCATAACTGCAGCTTGACAAGCAGCGCAAACCAGACACGTACTCACAATAATTGCTTGACACAAAATACCTCCAGCTGCAGACCAATCCACTAGCTAAGTATGTCCACACTGAATGTACATTCAGTATAACAAGACATGGAAGGAGAAGCTTCCTGGGTGTTACGGTAGCAAGAACTCTGCAGCTATGAGCAGGTTCTCTTGATCTGACACAAGACCCAAGTATTTCACTTTTCCCGACGTCTATCGCGAAATTTCCATTGATGGCGGGGTGCGTACCATGGGAAGAATTCAACCGGTGTATAACACAGTTGCTCACAATATCTGACCGATTGTCTGACGGGTGGACACTTCATAACAAGGATGCACCAAAAGAAACATATTTGGTAAAGAAAGTGATAATTCCCGACACGGAGAATAAATCAGATTTAAGCCCATTTGCTGTATCCTTGGAGGAACCTCTAGACGACGTTTTGGAGGATGCAAATGTGATTAGAGAAGCAGGCGGCAGAATTCTCACGTGGGAATACCACGTGTTGTACAGCCGCAGTTACTTGGTGCCGGTACTGTATTTCAACGCGTGGACGCATGACGGACGGCTGTTGAGTCTTGAGGACATGTGGTGTCGTGTGCACGCCAACTTCCAGGACTCACTTCAAGAGAACAGGTGGAGTGTCCTCACTCAACAGGAGCATCCTGTGTTGAGAAGGCCGTTTTATCAGCTGCACCCTTGTCATACAGCCCAGTTGCTTGGCTGTTTCCGAGGCAAGAGTCCCAACATTGTGATAACTTGGCTAAGCACAGTGGGTCCTGTTGTTGGGCTAACACTCCCTCCGCAGTATGCAGAAATCACTTCAGTTGAATGAGAATGTAAACACTGTACAGGAGATTTGTTTTGTTCTTCTGTAAGCAATTGAAACAATAAATGAAATGTAATATTAAGAGCAGAGTTTTTGCTACAGCCTAGCAGGCTCCCTCGGTCATTATAATCCGTACATGAAATGCATTCTTAGAAAATTGTAGCCTGCTGTCTTCTTCTTCTTCTTCTTCTCCTCCTCCTCCTCCTCCTCTACCAGCTCTGTCGTAACGGCGCTAACAACGCAACTGTTTCCGTAGCAAAAGAGGTTTACTGTACGTAAAGGAACACTGAGAAGACATAAACGTAGGTGGGAGGATAATATTAAAATGCATTTTAGAGGACTAAGAGGAGTGTTATGGACTGGATTCGTTTGGCTCAGGTGGGAACAAGTTGCGGGCTCTTGTGAACACTGTAGTGAACTTTAAGTTCCAAAAAAATGTACAACTCTTCAGTAACTGACTGGCTTCTGAAAAAGTACTAAGCTCCATGGAATTACATAAATAGTTATTAGATAAATGTATTCTTGTATTTTAATATGTAATTAAATATTATGCCATGCAGGAATGGGTGAGTGGAGGTATAGCTCTACCATTCTTGACCTTGGCACTAGATGGTGAGTTGTCAGCTTCAAGCCCCTACCGCTTTACCCCCGTGGTACGCAAGGTATCTACTGTGCAGGAGGCTGGGCGAGTCGTGGGCCAGTATAGACTGTGGAGAAGAGAGAAATACTTTTAATACCCTATAGCTAACCGCCTGAAATTGGCATGGATCCAAGATATATTCATATCAGTGGCGAGAGAAAAGAGTGCGCGGCTGAAGAAAATTTCATAAATATGAGCTTCATGATTCGAACCCTTCGCGAAATATAGAGCGAGAAAATAAACTAAGATGAATTGGGACAGAAGAGAATTGAGTACATGATTTTATTCCAAAAATCTGATAGGAAGACATCACTTGGAAGATCTAGGCGTAGATCGGAGGATCTAGTGTTATATATATGTATTTTCCTTGGCACTACAGCCCCAGTGGGCCTAGGTCTACCTCCATGAACTTCTCCGTTCACTTCGGTTTTTTAGATCGAACACATTCGGTAGGACTCCTTGGGCGGGTGATCAGCTCGTCGCAAGGCCTCTACCTGTACACAAACACAGAAAAACGCATACAAAGAAACTAAACATCCATGCCCTGAGTGGGATTCGAACCCACGATCCCGTCTTCCGAGCGAGCGAAGACAGTGCATGTCTTAGACCGCTCGGCTACCGTGACCGGCCTAGTTTTATATTACTAGAATATAAAGATGTGGATCGGATTCATCTGGCTGAGGAGAAGGTCTAATGGCAGGCTGTTGTGGACAATGAACTTAACTTTACTCCATGAAGTTCATTGTATTGGTAATAAATTCAACATATTTAGGGCGATAATAATTTTTAACTGGTTCACTTCAGGGTTCCAATGCAATTTAGTTCTGACAGTGTTTTAATTATGGCTGTTCGAACAATTGCCGGGTGTTGAGAGCCTGCGCTGCGGAACTGCAGGGAATACCATTTAAGATGTAACCCAAACAACAATCACAGAATGAAAATATGAGGAGTTCTCTCCCGTGAAAAGCCTCTCCTGAATTTCCTCTTACTGCTCGAATACATATCATCACCTCGTTGTAGGCTGCTCCTGTCGACAGTTACGCGAACGTAGTGTATTCACGGGGGAACATGTGTTCGTTCTCAGACATTACGTAGTATCGAAATCATCTGTTATTTTTCGTGAAACATCAGTGCGTACCCTGAACAAGGAGGTACTGAATAAGACAACATTATTTTATATCACTTGCAACTATTTTGAATGGTACCTCCTGTATTGGTCCTACAGGAATGTTACTGATATATTCAGGTTACTTTTACATTACTTAGTGAAGTTTTATTAGTTGTTTAAGGCGATAGTTCTCAAACGCTTACTTCCGTATTCAGAGGCACTCTTTGCGTTTTCTCTTGTCTAGATTACATACGCTGAGACTTAAACGGTGATTGATTTCTGACTGAAATACTGACATCGCTGACTGGGGCGCTTACGCGTGGGATTAATATGATCAGATGATAATGCCGGCAATTGTAATCATACCTCCACACTTCTGCAGGTATGATACTATACAATATGTTACCTAACGAAATCAGGAAATTGGGCTGAATATATTATATGTTAGTAAGTAGTCCGCCGCCCGTCACTGTAGCAGAGCGGTCTAAGGCATGTACTGTCTTCGCTCGCTCGGAAACCGGGATCGTGGGTTCGAATCCCACTCAGGTCATGGATGTTTAGTTTTTGTCTGTGCGTTTTTCTGCGTTTGTGTACAGGTAGAGGCCTTGCGACGAGCTGATCACCCGCCCAAGGCGTCCTACCGAATGTGTAAGATGTAGAAAAACCGAAGTGAGCGGAGAAGTTCATGGAGGTAGACCTAGGCCCACTGGGGCTGTAGTGCAAAGGAAACAAAAAAGTATTCCTCCTGGTGAGTGTGTAATTTATTCTGGAAGAATTTTAATTATACAAGGCCTCACTTAGATCGGTAAGGAAGCCATCACATTTTTCGTAACGAAAATAGGCAGAGGACGAAACGCTGCCCGAAGGCTAACCACGAAACAGAGTTTGCCAAATCCTCCAGAGGTGTTATGCTTTGTCTTTTAAACTGGTCGATAGTAACAGAATAGAGAGAAAAAAAAAGCATTGAAAAACTTTTGAATGTCTGTTGCGTTGCTACAGTTAGAGACAAGCTGAGGTCATATCTTTGTTACGTTTTGTATAGTGTGCACTCAGAGGCTAAAACACATCCTTTGTTTCTATGCTGAGCCCTCTCTTAAAATCCCACACGGCCGTAATTAAATACCACTGACGTATTCGGTCGCACATATGTACTGCACTGTTTACATTTCACTCTCAAACGATTGGAGGCAAGACTGTGACGTAGAATTAGTTCAGAAAGTTAGTGAGTGTGACCTACTTTCCGAAGGTCTTCACGTGTTACCCTATGGTCGAGTCTTCTGACAGAATGTTCGTATTCTTCCTGTCCACCCTGAAGAATTTTTTGATAAAAACAAATGAATTATTGTTATTATTATTTTTCCCTGTTCTGCTGCTCCTCTAGTCACTGCCCTTCAGCCAGATGTGTCTCTGCTGCTAATTTAGTGTGTAATTCTTTAGACATTTTTAGTAATTCTAAAATAAGTTTAAAAAATCTGACTATTTAATTGTTCTTATAGTTGCATCAGATTTATTTCTCAATTAATTATTTAAACATCTCATTTCTCAGTCCTAAAATATAATGAATTTCTATTATTATTATTATTATATTTATTATTATTGTAATTATTATTAAAAAATCTGTCTATTTAATTTGTTCATGTAACTTTTTGCAGGACACTTGTTGTCACTTCATCATTAATATATTTACTTTTGTAGTACCTTTGACATATGTTTTACTTAGACACTGCTTGGTTTCGTCTCTAACATCAAATTGTGTTCTTTCAATTGTGCATATTTGCAACTGAATTTTTGTACTATTTTCATCAATCTCTCTGTATATTGTGTCCTCGTGCTGACTGTGTAATTGGCTACCAGCTGTTGAGTACAGCACGTAAATAAAACCAAGAATTGAATTGAATTGAATTGAATTATTATTATTCACTACCAACACATCTAGACACGGCATAGTGTCCTTGCAATTCATCTGTATTACAATACAACACAAAGCAATAAGCGTACTAACTCCAGGCAGAAGAGCCCTTCCTGAGAACCCAGATATTGTTCAGCTAGTTAAGACATTTCCCACCTTTAGTGACGCTCGAAGTTCATTACTGTGTTCACAAGAGTAATCCACCCCCACATATTCACACTGTCTATTTTAGATACATTCAGATGTTCCCCCATTCTACTTTAATTGTTCTTTTGAAGGAGGGGTGGGGTTCTTGGAGAATGGAGGCAGTCCAACTGCAGTCACCTTTAAATATTTGTGAGTTGCACACCACTGTATTAACTCAAGTAACTCCGAATGGCCCCAGAGTGTTGAAGTTTCTATAATTCAGAATTTAGCAGGAGTGACGCAGATTCCCGTCCGTACACTCACTCACTCGTGGAGCTGAGCCCTTCTTGAGGAGCCGCTAATTCTGCAGCTACTCAAGAATTAATCCCAGCATTTAATGGAACCCGAAGGTTCATTACCGTGTTCACAAGAGCCCTCCACTGGTCCCTGTCATGAACCAGATAAATCAAGTCCATACCCTCCCATCTAATCTCTCTAAGATCCGTTTTAATGTATTCCACCAACCTACGCCTTGGTCTTCCCATTAGTCTCTTTCCATTTCTCTTTCCCACCAGTATCCTATATGCGTTCCTCTTCTCCACATTCGTGCTACATGCTCTACCCATCTCATCCTCCTTGACTTAATCATATTAATTATACCTGGCGACGAGTACAAGTTATGAAGTTCCTCATTATGTAGTTTTCTCCACCCTCCTGTCACTTCATCTCTCTTCGGTCCAAGTATTCTCCTCAACCCCCCCCTATTCTCAAACACCCTCAGACTATGTTCCTCCCTTAATGTCGGAGACCAAGCTTCACACCCATACAGAACCATAGGCAAAATTATATTTTTGTATATTCCAATTTTTATGTTTTTAGACAGCAGACTAGAAGACAAAATTTTCTGGACTCAATGGTAATAAGTATTACTCGAGTTCAGTCTCCTCTTAATTTCCTCCTGAATTGTGTTTTGATTTGTTACCGTCGTTCCGAAATATCTGAACTGTGCCACATTTTCAAAACGTCTGTTACCTATCTTTATGTCATCATTTTGCCCTTCATTTTGGTGACGAGACAGCAACATATGCTTAATTTTCTCTATGTTTACTTCTAGTCCAACCTCTTTACTAGCGTCAGTTAAAGTTTGTGTTTTTCCTTTATGGTATCTACATTATCACCCAGTAGATTCACATCATCAGCATAGACCATCATCTGATGTGTCCCGTTTAATTTCAGTCCCACCTAGTTTTCCTGGCTAACAGAAATGAGTACCAGGGTACTCACGCGACATTTTGGGCA